AGCCACCGTGCTGCGGGAGGAGTACTGCTGGTGCGGTAGGGGTAGATGATTGCTTACATAGCTATTGCCCCATTTTCAGTAATGAAATTTCAACTTTCTAACTTTCCATATGATATGTCCTGAGTAACATTTCAAGTGTTATTCTTTGCAATTTTATAAAAAGACAGATTAATAGATGGAAGAAATAATTTGCTTTCTTTAAACAAGTCTAGTCGTCTTAAACTTTCTATTTCCAAATTAGATAGTCTTAGAGAAGAGCCACAGACATATCTGAGAATACTGTTTTGCCTCATACTGCAAGGTATTCTCAGTGCAGAGACCTTAGTGTTTTAACTTAGTAAGTGTTTTAACTTACTAACATCAGATAAGTCTTGAACCCAGGAGAGGAGACACTGTTTATATAGAATAAGGAGAAATGACAGTGAGTAATTAATTTATTCATAAATAAATTATTCAGGAAAAATGTGCTATGCATGGGGCTATGATCACAGACAAAATGGGCTGTCTATGCACAGTCTTCTGTGAAAGGAAGTGCCCTGGAAATTTCTAAACTCAGCAGAACTTGAGCGGTCCATCCCATCTCCATCACAAGAGAGGCCCTAAAATGGCCTTGAATGGAAAACAGTGGTCCTTTCTGCTAATCCCCACCCAACGTTGATAAAAGAGGTCAAGTGCTTTTATTTCTGCCACTCTCATTTATTCTTATGACAACCCCAAGCTGGAGGTATGATCATCCCCATTTTGTAGAAAAGAAAACTCCCTGTCTAGCAAATTAATTCTAAATAGTTCAACCTGGCATTTGGTAATCTGCTCTAGGAGATCCTTTCAGCCTTCTCTCCAGATAATTCCATATTGGTATCTTGAAGTTCAGGCACACTGAGCTGCCATTCCTCAGACCTTCCCCTCTCCTCATTTGTCATCCAATGTCGCATTCATGCCTGTACTTCTCTGCTCTTATTTATTTGATTCAAACATAAGTGTTGTCTAATTTTCTTCCTTCTCTAAACTTCTGCAGCACTTAATGTGTGATATGCAGGCATTATTTAAAAATATCTGTTGATGTCCCATTTTACAGATAAGGAAATTAAGGCACAGGTAGGTTATGTAGTTTGCCCGTGGGCACAAACCTAATAAATGTGGAAAACTGGTGCAGGTTGCTTTTATGGTTGTTTAGATTTGATGCAGTACAAATTGCATACAGGGAGAGACCATGTAAGAGGATTTTGTAGTCATCTAAATGATTGAAGCCTATACTAGGTTAATAATACTAGAAGTGGGGAAAAAAAATAATGCTAGGAGTGGGAAAGAATATGAGAAGGATTTGGAAATTGGATGTGAGAGAGGGAATGGGGGAAGGGATTCATATTACAGCATTTTAGTCGTGTTGTTGGTCAGCCTAGGACCTATTGAGGAGGTGATATTTATATATATTTTTTCATATGTTTAGTCTTAAACCTTACATTTGTTGCAAGCAAAATATTTGGGAATCAGTTAAAGGGAATTTCAGCAGGGAATAACCCACAAGCTTTATACTATCTTTTGTAAGAGATCTGGAACTAAGCATTTTTCTTACTGGGTAAATAGAGCTAATACTCTGTGGGCATATTTCATGACCCAAATGAGAGAGCATCCCAGCTGTCCTTGCAGAGCTGAGTAATGTTAGTTTTCCATTAGTTAATTAATTAATTCATTCATTCAGTACCTATGGGTTGCTTAAGTTTGACACTATGTTAGCTTTGGGAAAACAGTGACAGACAAGGCAAACTTGGTTCTTTCTCTCCAATGAGCTTAGAGTTTAGTATCACCAAACAATTATTTAATTAAAACTGTGACAAGTCTCACAAAGGGGAAGCCTGAGCAAACTGAGAGCAAGGGGAATTCAGCCTAATCCTGGGACCCAAGAAAAGTGTTTGTGGGGATGTGACATTTTAGTTGGGTATTTAAGGATGAGTGGATGTTCTCCTTCCTTAGTTTTCTTTTCTGATATTTATAGTAACCTGAAGCGAACCAGTAATCAGGACTCTTCAAGCTATTGCCTTCCTTGTCTAAAGCTCTTATCTTTACAGGTAAATACATTTATTTTTGGTCAAGTTAGAAACATGCATATGGTGGAAAGAAATGGTCTTTGGAGTCGGGAGACCGGTGTTCTGTTTGCTGATGCTACTTCTCCTCCGTATACAAGTAGATTAGCCTAAAGGGAGAATGCCTTCCTATAACCCAGACCTCCAGGCTAGCTCTGTCTGGACTGAGTCCACTTGTGTTTTCTGGCAGTTTTGATGTGTTATCTTCAGATCCCCAAATTTCAGAGCAGTCCTGACCAGAGTTTCTTAGAGCCAGTGTGCATGTGTTTACATGGTAGGCCCATCTTCCTAAGCTTCAGTGATGTTTCCCATGCTCTGAGAAACGTGAAAGACTTCTGCCTAATTGACATGCCTTTCTTCTTTCTCTTTTTCTTGGATAGAGCAACAAGTTGCTGTAAAATTTGTATTTTTGGGTCCAGCTTTCTCTTTTTCCTCAGGCCCTGGTTGGGTGACTGGTGCAGCATCTGCACCTCTTTTCTCAGTCTTACGAAAGTCACTCACCAGGACCTGAAGTAGTGGTGGAAGACGAATTCTGACGGAGTCCGCAGGCTGCCCAGAACCTTTCAGACCCTGGCAAGCCATGATGTGTCATTATCTCGTTTGCCTGGATAGCCGTGTTAATCCTGTCATGGATCTGTGTGTGTCTTTATCCTTCAGCACAGTGGTCCCATGACCTTAGCATGGGAGGGCCAGCACTCGGTGAAATAGGCCACTTCATCTCTCTGAACCTTCATGTCCATTTTGTACAATGGAAGTTAAAATAATTCATGTTGAGATGCAAAAATATATTGTGTGTAAAAGGGCCTACCACTGTATTTGTACCTCAGGGCCCACAAATGTTTGTGTGTTTTAAAAATCCCTTTCAGACTCACCAGTGGACAGGCTACACACACACACACACACACACGGATCATAGTGTGTGTTTTTCACTACCTTATATGACCATGGAGGCAGAGAAGGGTGTGAGGAAAATGTTACCACAAATGTAAATGTTTTAGTTTTTAAATTTGAACTAAAAGCTTTTATGTAGCTGATGACTTTATGGTTGTTGGACCAGGACATCCATTTTTTTTCCTTTATATCTATCTGCCTTATCCCCAGCTTGGAAATGTTAGGTATGTGTTGGCTCAGCTTGCATTTGTCAGACTGGTAGAACAGCATAGGATGCAGAGAGCCCTTTCTATTTTAGCCCTCATTAATGTTAGTATGTCCAAAATAAATATAATATGGAAATTAAATGCTATGAAACTAACCTTTTAAAATCCTAAAAGTTGTAATCTCAAGTTTTGTAACAGGAGAAAGAGGAATTTAAAATAACAAACTTGGTCATTTCAAAATCATAATGTTTAATGACTAGTAAGCATGAGGAGAACTATTCAGCTTCACTAGTCATAAAAGGAACATAAAACAAAATGTTGCTAGACTCTTTTACTAATAACATTGGCAGTTTTAAAACATAAGAGAACAAAAGGAGGAGGAGAGATGTTGAATCGGGCACCTTGTACGGGCTGATGGAAGTATAAATAGGTATAACTTGTCCCCTTCTAAAGCAATTTAACAGTATTTATCAAGTGTTACAGGGATGTTAATGACTTTGACACAGTAATTAAACTTCTGGGAGCTTAGCCTACATAAATAATCAGAAATGGACATAAATATAATTATGACATCAGGAACTTGGAAACAACCTGAATGTCCAACAATGGGGGATTGATTAAAGTAAGTATGGAAATACATGCAGTGGGCGTTTCTGCCATTAAGTAGGCTGTTTGAAAAAATCATGACAAGGCAAAAAAGCTTGTTTTTTCCTGCTTTCCATTATTTTACAATCAGCATGAACTTAGCATTTTGAAATATCTGTTTATATACCGTGTGTATGTGTATGAATGACAACAAGAAAAATGCATTAGAGTAAAACATTATCTCTGGGTGATGGGAATGTTGATGGTTTTTATTTTCTTTGGGCTTTCCTGCATAGTTTGTTATCAAAAGAAAATCCATAATTAAAAATGCATATTTTAGAATACTTTATATTGACATAACCCTGTGGAAATATACAGAACAAAGCCTAATGGGAATTATGACAGAATGCTACCAGGGGCTTTAATAGGGTGATGGGACTTGGTGGTGGTGGTGGTATGTGTGTGTGTGTGTGTGTGTGTGTGTGTGTGTGTGTGTGTGTGTGTGTTTTGTTTGTTTCTGGTTTTGCTGAGGCATAATTGATATATATCACTGTACAAGTTGAAGGTGTACTGCATGATGGTTTGACTTACTGCATGATGGTTTGACTTACATATATTGTGAAATGGTTACCACAGGTTCAGCTGACATCCTTATTTCATAGAGATACAATAAAAGAAAAGAAAGAATAAAGAAAAAAAAGAAAAAACAATTTTCTCCTTGTGTGAAAACCCATGTTTTACTCTGAACAATTTTCCACTGTGTCATATGGCAGTGTTAGCTATCATCATGCTGTCTGCTACATCCCTGATACTTATGTATTTTATAACCAGAAGTCTGTATCTTTAGACCACCTTCCCCCAATTTCCTTTCTCCCCACCCTCCATCTGTGGTAACAAGTCTAATCTCTTTTTTCTATGAGTTGTTTTTTTTTTAAGTTCCACATATAAGTGAGCTCATACAGTCTTTGTCTTTCTCTGTCTGACTTATTTCACTTACATGCTTGTAAGTTCTGTCCAGGTCATGGTGTTTATTTTTAATTATTTCTTCAATGTGCTTCAGTGAAGAATGTGTCTTGTATTAGGAAGGTGAAAAATAAATGTAGAAAAATACTTTACAAATCCATACCACATTTGAATTGAGGAGTATTTCCCAGATATTCTCTTGTGACTGGTCCATCTTAAGGACCATGAAAACTGTTAACAATGTAAATGATAGACATTTTCTTTACTCCTACAGATATCCCTGAAATTCCAGAAAGCATCTCATTCTGTAAAGCACTACAGATAGCTGACTTCAGCGGAAACCCACTGACTAGGTAATCTTCCTGCTTGCTTTTCTGTCTGTAATACTTGAGAACCAAGCAAAGAATATAACCCGGTTACCCATCTTGGAGGTATACCTAAATGGATTGCTTTCTTTATCAAGGACAGTTGACCTTCACAGCTATTTACTTATAAATGACATTTTACAATGAAAGGTACACCGTGCTGTTGATGGAACATCAAATGGATGTTGTTACGGGATGAGTGGAGGCATAGCACAGTGTACAAAACGAGTAAGGAGCACATTTCTGGAGCAATGTGAAGGATTGGAGTAGTTCACAAATTCCCTTCTGATCCATCTTGTCTTATGGGGTAAGACTGAGGTCTAAACTCCCAGAGATCTTACTGCATAGTTATCCATGTAGAAAGCACTATTAAAGCTATTTTTTCTGCTTCAGTAATGAACCATTTACTGTCATCAACTTTTCTCTAACTTCCCCCACCCCTCCTTTTTAAAAACTCGACTGACACTGTTATTTGCTTACATTAGCAATAGCTGTGAGGATTTCTCTAGGTTTATCTCTTCAAATGAAGCCACCTCTCCTCTTTTACCACAGAGTCCAGTCTTGCCCTTCTTGGTATGACACAGCACGCTGCCTGGGCGTAACTGAGCGGTGCCCCTCCTTGTGGCCCCTGGCTCGGTCATGAGCCCCCTGAGCACTGGCCTCCAGGTACCTGTGTTGCCAGGATAGCCTAAAGGGTGCCCACCCAGCGATGCAGAGACAGCCCTCAGGGTCTGTCCCAGAGTTCTCTCTGGGACACGGGAGCCCGTTTCTAAGATTTCTCAAGACTTTGTAAGCAACTTCAGAAGAAAGTACTCTTCCCCTTTCATGTCCCTGCCCTTTCCTTTTTTTTTTCTCTTTAGCATCTAAGGAAATAGAGTTTAAGTTAAAATTTGGGATTTATCTCACCCATTTCAAAATTTCTTGGGTCTCTTGGGTATGGAGTGCTGGCAAATGCCCTGTTTAGTTTTGTTTTTCCTAGCTTATTTTCAAGAACTAAAATATGTTTTAAAAAATATTTCTGGTTTTCCTCTTCATAATTTCACGGATTACATTACTAATGACATTTATGTATTTTTATGGAATGTAGTAATCTAATCTAGTAAGCTCTAACCTAATAGCTTTCTAATTCTTCACTGTCCTCAAGTCTTACCCTCTTTCTGAACCCATTGTTCACACAGTTGTCTTCCTTCAAACCTTTCAGTAGCTCCCTGTTCCTCCAACATAAAGTCCAAGTTCCTCGCCTCTCTCTTGGCCTTCCTTTGCGCCGTCATTGCCCCCCGTTGCCTGTGTCCTACGTCATGTGTCATGCTCTACATCAGAGTGCTTGTAGGTTGTTGATTTCACTCTCCCGTCTTTCTGACTATGCCAGCCCTATTGCCCTCCTTAAACTGCAGCGTGAGCATGGCATTTCTTGGGGAAGCCTTTCCTGATAACGCCCCACAGAGGCCTCCCCTGGATGTCTAAATGTTCTGTGTGTACTTTTTTCCATAACACTTGAAATTTGCATTTTAGTTAGGGCTTTGACCAAGACTCCCTGACTAGACTCAGAAAGTGAACTTGCTTTCCTCTATTAGTTATCATTGTATCTCCAGCCCCACTGTAATTTCTGGAATGAAGTAAGCACTCAACAAATGTGTGTTGAATTGAGCTAAGCTGTTTGTTCCTAAGGCAGCTCAGAGAGTAAGGCAGCTGGGAAATACTCATTATGCTGTCCGAGTGTTCCTTTTTAACCATTCACTTGCTTAATCCCCCTTTCTACTTCTTTAGTTTTCCTTGTCTAACATCTGCTGATGTACAACTACCATTATCTCAGAATTCTCTCAACGGAAACACACCTGTATTGTGGGAGGCTCTACTCAGTTTTTACCCTGGCCTTATATTTGTCAGGTTTCTTAAAGTAAAGCCATACTCATTTGGCAGGTGTGCTCTTATAAGAATTAAGGTGATTTACCTGTGAGTTGAAAGGACCTTAAAAGTCCTTTACCTTGGCCTACATATTTTTATGGCTGAAAAACTGAAGCTCAGAGAAGTTAAATGACTTTTTGAGATCATGCGGCCTCTAAGTGGCACCTCAGACTGGATTTCCTTTCTCCTAACCTTACGTCTGTTCTTCCTCATCATGTCATACTAATGCACCTCTGTTAATGTAACAGCCAGTGAAGAAGGAAGCCAGCCATTTAAAAATACATTTCCTTATATTTAAGATCACATTAGCTAGTTCTTAAATTATGAAATAATTTATACTTCCTGGTGAAAACTTATACTTTATAAAAATTTATGCTTCCTGGTGAAAGGCAGAACAGATAGGTTGCATCTTTTTAATTGTAAATAAAACACTTACCCCTCTTCTACCATGGACGAGGTTGTAACTTTGTAAAAACCATTCCTGAGAATGTATTTCAGTGATTGTGAAAATCCTATTTAATACATTCAGTTTCAGAACCTGAATTTGGTTGTCAGGTTTGGGATTACCTTATGTCAAAGAGCGATGCAGGATTTGTTTTTTTCAAAAGAAACTTGGAGGAAAGAAAGATTCTAATATATAGAGAGACTGTCACTAAGGCAAGAAGTCCTCGCATACCCTAAAATTAGGTGTGTGCTGTGGCGGCTCTATCAACAGATTTAGGTATAAGGACCTTCAGCATTTTAGGTACAATAAGATCTTTTTGCCTTCAGTTAGTTTTCTTAAATTTTCCTTCCCTAAATATTGGTAACCATAGAAATATTCAAAGAAAACTTTCTTTGTAAGTTTTGAAATAATGATTTTATTTTGAAAACTCGTTATTCAGTAGAGTTAAAGGGAAGTATAAAAATTCCCTTTTGTGTGGAACATAGTGAAAAATATAATTATCTTAAGTGATTGGCATTTAAATCAGATTAAAAGAAAAATATTAAGAAAGTAGCAATTGGCTGTCAGTTGATCAATTCTAAGTAATCTGTATAGCTTTGCTTTGGTATAAGCTACAGAAAAAAAATTAAGTAGCTGTCTTGTTTTTTACTGTAATCTTGTGGGCTAAAATTTCTTTTTATTTTCTGCCAATCAGTAAAGTATTTTCACTCATAGGCATTCTTAGCTGCAGCAGCTATTCACCATATTATTTCACAGAACACTCAGACATCTCACATTTTCCCCCTTCATTCTTAGAGCTTACATATCTTTCCTCTAAATTGTTTCTGCATCACCCCATCAACAATATTGACCATGCCCCTGTTCTAAGTAGATCAAGTCCTTGTTTTTTTCCTTATTAATGTCTTATAAATAGGAAGACAAGGTTAAGCATGCCACATATAATGTAGCTTTTAGGAGGTTATTTCAATTAGCCTAAAAAAATCATTTTGTTTAATAAACATTGTATATGCACATTTCTTTTTCAATTAACATTTATTTTTGTTTTAGATTGCCAGAAAGCTTTCCTGAATTACAGAATTTGACATGTCTTTCTGTAAATGACATCTCATTGCAGTGCCTGCCTGAAAATATTGGCAAGTAAGTTTCCACGTGAAGTTTCTTTATATCAGGATGAAAGAGCCTTTATCTCATCAACTCCATCCTCCTTCCCTTTTACAGCTCTCATTTTTCTAGTCAGAAAAGCCATTTACCCAGTCTTCAATATCATCCTTAAGAAATATCACCCTCCCATGTTTTTGGGCCCATTTGCCCCTAAATTTTTATCATTAAAAAGGATGCTGCTACTTGTTATTTGCAAAGAATCTAATTTGTGTGGAAGCTCTCTTCAAACCGATGGATTCCAAAATACAGTTGACCCTTCAATACCACCAACCTCCTGCATAGTTAGCAGGTTAGGGGCATCAACCTCTGCATAGTCAAAAAATCCATGTATAACTCTCAATTCCTCAAACACTTAATTACCAATAGCCTACTGTTGACCAGAAGCCTTACCAGTAACATAAACAGTTGATTAATATATATTTTATATGTTAAATGTTTTATGTACTATATTCTCATAATAAACTAAGAGAACAGAAAATGTTTTTTTGAATTGGTGTAAGTCTCCAAAAATTTTTCCAGTATGTTTAAAAAAAGATCTCCCTATAAGTGGACCATGCAGTTCAAACCCGTGTTGTTCAGGGGTCAGCTCTAGTTAATTTAAGCAAAGTAGCATGTATCATATAGGTGGTTGGTAAATACTGTTAAAAACTGCCACTCTCAGTAATTTCATTGAAAACTTGAGAGTTTGTGCTCCTCAACAATACCTGTGTCTGTTGAGGTGTGTTCCCTCTATACCCACTTTGTTGAGAGTTTTTATTATGAATATGTTGTATTTTGTCAAATACGTCTTGTAATTTACTGAGATGATCATATGTTTTTATCCTTCCTTTTGCTAATGTGGTATATTCCATTGATGGGTTTGTGAATGTTGAACCATCATTGTATCCCTGGAATAAATCCCACTTGGTCATGGTTGAATGACATTTTAATGTATTTGAATTCAGTTTGCTAATGTTTTGAGGATTTTTGCATCTTTGTTCACCAGGGATATTGGTCTATAATTTTCTTTTTTGTAGTGTCTTTGTTTTTGATATCAGGGTAATTCTGGACTCATGGAGTGAATTTGGAAAATTCCTTCCTTTTCAGTTGTTTGGAATAATTTTAGAAGGATAGGTTTCAACTCTTGTTTAAATGATTGGTAGAAGTCCTCTGTGAAGCCATTTGGTCCTGGATTTGTTTGTTGGAGTTGTTTTGATTATTGATCCAATTTTGTTTTCAGTCATCAATCTGTTAGGATTTTCCATTCCTTCCTGATTCAGTCTTGGAAGGTTGCATGTTTTTAGGAATTTACTGATTACTTCTACATCCAATTTGTGGGCATATGATTTTTCATAATCTCTTATAATGGTTTATATTTCTGTAGTGTCAGTTGTAACTTCTTTTTCATTTCTGATTTTATCTGAGTTCTCTGTCTTTTTTTCTCAATGAGTCTAGCTGAAAGTTTGTCAGTTTTATTTGTCTTTTCAAAGAACCAGCTGTTAGTTTCATCAATGTTTTGCACTGTTTTTTCAGTCTCTGTTTCATTTATTTCTGCACTAATCTTTATTATCTTCTTCAAGTAACTTTGGCTTTGTTTGGTTTCCTTTTTCTGGTTCCTATAGGTATAATGTTAGATTGTTGATTTGAGAATTTTGTTGTTTCTTAAAGTGGGCCTCTGTTGTTATAAACTTCCCTCTTAGGACCTCTTTTGCTGTCTCCCAAAGATTTTAAACTGTTGTGTTTATATTTTTATTAGTCTTCAGATATTTTCTAATTTCCTTTTGATTTCTAATTTTCATTGGTACATTGGCTGTTTAGCAGCATATTGTGTTTCATCCAGTTTTTTCCTTGTGTTGATTTCTGTTTTCATATCATTGTGCTTGGAAAAGGTGCTTGATATGATTTCAGTCTTCTTAAATTTATTTAGACTTGTTCTGTGGCCTAACATGTGATCTATCCTGAAGAGTATTCCATGTGCAGTGGGAAAGAATGTGTATTGTTCTTGGATGGACTGTTCTGTAACATCTATTAAGTCTATCTGGTCTAATGGGTCCTTCAAAACCACCGTTACCTTACTGATTTTCTTTCTGGATGGTCTATCTGTTTTTGTAAGTGGGATGTTAAAGTCTCCTAGTAATGTATTACTGTCATTTTCTCTCTTTATATTTGCTAATGTTTGCTTCATATAATTAGATGCTCCTGTGTTGGGTGCATAGGTATTTACAATTGTTATTTCCTCTTGCTAGATTGAACCTGTTACCATTTTATAGTCTTTGTCTCTTCTTACAGTCTTTGTTTTAAAGTCTGTTTTGTCCAAATTTTGCTGCCCTTGCTCTTTTATTCATTTTCATTTTTATGGAATGTCTTTCTATCCCTTCACTTTCAGTCAGTGTGTGTCTGTGTCTGAGGTCGGGTTTTTGTGGGCAGCACATATATATAGGTCTGTTTTTTAATCCATTCAGTCACCCCCTGTCTTTTAATCGGAGCATTTAGTCCATTCACATTTAGAGTAAATATTGATAGTATGTATTTATTGCCATTTTGTTAAATGTTTTCTGATTGTTTTTGTAATTGTTCTCTGATCCTTTCATCTGTTGCTCTTTTCCCTTGTATGTGATTACTTTCTTTAGTATTATGCTCAGATTCCCTTCTCTTTTTGTGTATTACAGGTTTTTGATTAGTGGTTACCATGAGGTTTATATATGACATTCTAAATATATAGCAGTCTGTATTAAGCTCATGGTTGCTTAAGTTTGAACACATTCTACATGTTTTATGTGTATGATGTCTTACTTTTTACCTTTTTATTTAGTAATTCCCTTAAATAGTTTTTTAGATGTGACTGATTTTACCTCTTTGGTCTTTTAACCTTCATACTAGCTTTCAAGCTGTTGATCTACTACTTTTACTATGTTTGGTTTTACCAGTGGAATTTTTTCATTTCATAATTTTCTTCTAGCTGTGGCCTTTTCTTTTCCTCTTAAAGAAGTCCGTCTTTGGAATATTATTCAGCCATAAAAAGAAAACAAATCCTACCATTTGCAACAACATGGATGGAGCTAGAAGGTATTATGCTCAGTGAAATAAGCCAGGTGGAGAAAGACAAGTACCAAATGATTTCAGTCATCTGAGGAATATAACAACAAAGCAAAACTGAAGGAACAAAACAGCAGCAGACTCATAGACTCCAAGAGGGACTAGCAATTACCAAAGCAAAGGGGTTGGGGAGGGTGGATGGAGAGGAGGGGAGAAGGGGATTAAGGGGCATTATGATTAGCACACACAATATAGGTAGGTCACGCGGAAGGCAGTACAGCATGGAGAAAACAAGTAATGACTGTATAGCATCTTACTATACTGATGGACAGTGCTTGCAATGGGGGTGGGGGGGCTTGATAATATGGGTGAATGTTGAAACCACAATATTGTTTGTGTGAAACCTTCATAAGATTATATATCAGTGATACCTTAAATAATTAATTTATTAATGAATAGGAAAAATATTTTAATAAGAAACAGAGATTACAGTGTAGCAAAATTTTTTTTCGACAGTTTATAACACTATTCCCCTAACTTCCTATATTGTTATCTTTTTCTAAGTCATTTTGTTCTAAACGAATTACAGGTTTATTAAAAAAAAAATCTTATGATACAAATTTGTATGAATTAAAAAAAAAAAGAAGTCCTTATTGTAAGGCCTCTTTGGGGGTGGTGGACTTCTTTAACTTCAGTTCTGAATGATAACCTTGCAGGTAGAATATGACTGGTTGTAGGTCTTTCTGTTTCAGCACTTTGACTATATCATGCCCCTTCTCTGTTAAGTTTCTGCTGCAGACTCAGCTGACAGTCTTATGGGGTTTTCCTTGTATGCAAATTTGTTGCATTTCTCTTGCTGCATTTAGAATTCTCTCTTTGTCTTTCATTTTTTACATTTTAACTATTATGTGTCTTGGTGTAGACCTCCTTCGGTTCATCTTGTTTGGGCCTCTTTGTGGTTCCTGGACTGGATGTCTGTTAACTTCCCCAAGTTGACAGCTGTTATTTTTTCAAACAAATTTTCTACCCCTTTTTCTTTCTCTCCTCCTCATGTGATTCCTATAATCTGAATGTTAGTACCTTTGGTGTCATTCCAGTTGTTCTTTAACCTACCCTCACTTTTTAAAATTCTTTTTTTTTTTTTAGCTCTTCAGCTTGAGTGCTGCCCTGTCTTCCAGTCACTGATCCATTCTACCGCATCTCTAATCTGCTGTTGATTTTTTAGAACGCTTGTTAAATTACAAAAATGCAACACCTCTGATTAGTCTTATGAACAAGTGATTGACATCAGGGAGGATGGCAGTTTATCAGCCAAATTTCAGCAAAGATCTTTTCAGAATTAGAAGAAATTTTAAGAAGTTAGTATGATGATTTAATAAATGCAGCTGATAATGCAGTTCTTCTTTAATCAGTGTGACCTTGTGAAATATCTTTTTCCTCTATTGTAGCCATTAAACCAAGTTTCAGGACAAATAATTTAGAGTCTATTGTTTTGTCCCCAAATATAAAACAAAAGATTTAGTACATAATATAGTATTTTCAGTCCTGTTGCTTTCACTAATGAAAACCAAAAAAACTTTTATATCTTTAGTAAAATATTTTAATCGTGTTTTGCCTTCTACTTAAATTTTCTTGTTTTTATATATTTTCTACAATGTATATAATACACTGGCACATATTATATCAATATATTTTTAAATACAAAGATCATGAAGGTATACTCTTAAATGTGTGAAGACCTTCATGCTAGAAATGAATGTTTGGAAGTTAACTAAGCTTGAAACCAGTGGTTCTCCAGCTCTGCTTTGTCAGGTCTCTAGGGGTTTCATCAGCATCTCCCCAGGGCATTGTGCAGAGTAAGACCTATTGCTGTGATGGGTGTTCTCTGCTGATCCTTATTTGCTCCAGTAAAGCTCTGTTACTAGCTTTTTAATTTTATTTTTGCATTGGTGTTACATATA